TTAAGTTTAGGAAGCCACCCTTTTAAATCATAATTAAAAGATACTCTCTCTCCTCTCCTCCCCCCTCAAAATAAAAGTCTATCAAGAATGTCTTCTGAATAGATATTACAATGAATTTTTCTGAAATGTAATTGCTAATGGATTAATAATTGGATAGTTTGCTTAATAGAAAAGTGCTTATTATTAATAGAATTGCTAACAGTACAAGGTATAGCTAATGATCCCTCACTTTTTAGAACTGATACACAGAGGAAGGAACACACTGCACAACCCCAACAAAAGCATATATTTTCTTTTGTTCTTTTCTCACTCCTCTTTCCCTTATTCTCTGCTCCTAGAACTCTGACACTGGACATCAGCACTATTTGCACCTGGAATGAACTACTCATACCTTGAAATGTGATATTAGGTAGTATTAAAGAATCATCATCTTCCTTCCATGCCTAGGAGCTTATATAGAGGGGGCATTTTTATGCAAGTCTGCAGCAAGCTAATAGCAGCAGCCCTAGCTAGACCGTGTTTCTTAGCTGTCTCTTCTAGAGAAGACCTTCACACTGCTTCGTGCTATGCTGTGTTGTGCAAGCATGAAGTTGCACTGAATATTCTAGCTTCTCTTCCATATGGTAACATCTGAGATATGTTCCAGTGGCACTCCTGGTCAGCCATCACCACCAGCAACTTTTGGTGGTTTAACTGAAGATGCATCTCTCCATAGGCACACATATCTTCCAAATCACTATAATAGCAGGCAGCATGTGATAGATTCTCACCCCTGACTTCTCCACAGGGTGAAGGAAAAGCAAAAAGCCACAGACAGGGACCAATAAAACCAACAGCACTGACTGAGCAAGACTCAACAGCACCTAACAGTGGTACTCACGACAGGCTCTCTGCAAAGGAACAGCAGTTGGCAACACAGTAAACACAAAATAAATAAGATTTCCAGATATGTCTTGAAACTATTCTGTTCAAGTCACTGGAAACTTCTTAGCAGTTTCATAGGATTTCCCATTCCCAGAATTTAGCTTAAATATGGCACGTAAATAGAGTGAGAAAATAAAGAGCATCAATATTGTCTCTGACTACAGCAGCATATCTAAATAGCCAGAAACACATCTCTTAACATCATCTTTCTTTCTCTGGAGCTAATAAACCAATTTCAAATTACTTGTAAACTGTCTAAATAATGAGTGACCTACTATTAAAGAAGGCTAAATGGATTAGCTTAACTGCAGTTCCTATAGCAAGACTGTTGATACAGAGGGACTGATTTTGGTCTATTCTAAGTTTGATTTACATCATTCTGGCAGAGTAAAGGGGAATTAAATTAACATAAATGTGATCTACGTCCACTTAAAAAATCCCTTCCTGCTTCTGTGTTGAATAAAGGTAGCTTACTGTAAATAAGGCTGAGAAAAATGACATTCAGGTTGCTACCTTGGCAAGAGAATAAGTAATTCTCAGGGTAAGCAGTCGAAAGCAGAGTAATGTTAGCACCTGACCTGTGAAAGACATAAGGACAGTGAGTCCAGCTCCTCCTTTAGCCAGGGAGACTAAAACTGGATGGCCTGATGCCTTTCCTACTTAGCAACACGAAAGCAGAGAACTGGAATTAACATCACCAGCAGAAATGACCGTCCCAGATTCAAGCTTAGTTTCACGACCATAAGGTACCAGCAGTGTATCAAAAAGGAACAAAGCTCAGCACACTGGAAGCTAAATGCTGTGAAAAAGATTGAACAAAACCCAATTTAAAACTGGGATTCTTGCCTTTTCCCACAGCTGCAGCTCGCGTTGCCTGCTTTTCCAGCTGCCTTCCTGCAATCAGATACAGAACCTCTGCACCCAGGAGGACCCATCCTCTTAACTCTTTGAATTCTCTTCTATATCTTCTTTTTTACTGCAATCACAGTGAAAAACTCTACAGCACTTAACATGTACTGAGATGACTGTCTGTCATGGTGACCAACATCGATCCATAGTTATTGGAAATTCATGGCTGTATCCACATGCTTCCTTCTGTTATACGTTCAGATCATTTCTGCTTTGAAAGATAGATGACTCCTTCTTGCATACCAGAGGATAACCAATACTTCACATAACCCCATGGCCATCCATACATCCTTCCGGATCTCTCCTGGATTGCTTCACTCTGTCTGACAAGGGTTATGCTGTTTCACCACTCTGTCTGCAGCATTAATGGAATGCTGACACTGCCTTTATCAACCTCAACAACACATTCATGAATGCCCTGCCACCAATAAACACCTCACAGGGTGAAAGAGGATTCAAATATTCTGCATTTTGCCCAACTCTGAGGAACAACAATCCTTTCCTAAGTTTTCTTTTCATCTTCCATACTTGTCTGCTCAGTAGGAGATACACCCAACCTCAAAGTTTTTGCACTTTGATTTTCCAACTGACAAATTTCTGCAGATGTGCCAGAGTGACAACCAGGTCAGTCACAGCCAGTAGGACAGCTCTGCAGTCTGTGTAAGGCTGGGGGGGAACCTGGCCATTACGAGATGCAAAGTTCAAAGTGTTTCTGCACTCAGCTATGGAGGATTCTCTAGGTCAGAGCAAGAGAAGTATTTAAACAGCTTTCTAAATTGACACCAGGGAAGACAACAGGGCACAGAACTGCTACTCAGTTGTCTTCCACATGCAGAAGGCTTCTGAGACACACTCCTTCAAGAAATACTTCTATAGAAATAAACATAGCTGCTGACAAACATCTGATAACAAAAACGAGCAGAGCACACCAAATTCTAACACACTTTTGAACTGCCAAGGACCCCCAGCACGTCAAGGGCAATGAGTTGTGGTTGACATGCATCCCTGATAACCACCAAGGACAAGGTGTAGCTCTTCTGATGGAGGAGTTAGGTGGGCAGCCATAGAGTTCACAGCCCAATACACAGCTTGTTACCAGCAAGGCAACTTTTTTTTGTTTGATTCCCAGCCACAAAGATTCCAGCTTTGCGAGATGCAAGAGTGGGTCACATATTTAGCAAACGACAGTCATTCCCTGGAGATAATAAAAAAGTAGCTTGTCTGTCACCAGCCTCCTTTTGTTTTTGACTTTGAGGCACATTATCTTTGCAGCAAATAAAATGCAGGTAATAAAGGGGAAAAAACAGTGCCCATAAACGAGAAACAAATCTCAGAGGCTAATAAAGAAAGTGCAAAAAAAAGTTGAGCAACTCCAACTTTGTACCACCATGGGATTCTGCACTCCCTCCAATACCATCACATACACTGAAAACAACTTTCTGCACTTGTCCTAGAGCTTGATTTCTTCTCGATTTCTTGATTTCTTCTCTTTCCTCTCAGCTTCTTTCCATATAGATGTCCCAAAAAATTTGAGGATCCTTGTTCACAGAAGACCACCAGCCTATTTTAACAGCTTACATTTTTTTTGCCAGGCTTATTCTAATACATACAAGAAAACACAGTCACTCTTCTTTTGGAGGAGAATTCGTTTTCTGACTATCTCATAGCATTTCTGCAAGGGCTCCTTTCGATGGATTTCAGTTCCCTCTGAGAGGCTGAATAGATTTAAATCAAATGTATCTGTTTCTGCAAACAAAATTTGGATTTAAACCCCATTTATTACACCCATAGAAAGTTCATCTCAAATGCAGACAGAATAAGTCCATTTCAGCATCATCATGCCATCTCTGTTAAGATAAATTCCTATTTCAGACTACAGATACACTTACATGAGAATTTAGCCTCAGGCAGGGTGAAAAGGCACAGATTATGACAACTTGAAGCCAAACTGCACTGCTTCACTGGAACAAATTTATAGCTGCTGAGGATCTGGTCTATGCAGCAATACAGGCTACCCTGCTGCTGTATTTCCATGGCACCACTGTCAACATTATTTATAAATAAATACAGTGATTAACATGCCATTTGCATTACCTTCAGCAGCCCCTGGTCTTCACCTTTCCACTCTTTGACAGCTTCAAATATAGCTTGTATAATTCAAAAATCATCACGCAATTCACTGGGCAAATTCTTGCACATCATGCAAATTCCCATGTGGCAACAAATTAATGATTCAGACTAATTTGATATTTAACTGTGTATTATTTCAAATTTCCTATTTACAAGCAAACACCGCCTATAAAGACTAAAGAAATCAAAATCAGACAATCATCCTCTCAACAGCATTCTCCCTTAACTGCAAACAATAAATCACTTCACATAAGTAGTTTTAAGCCATAAAACTGCAAATAAGGCATTTTGTGCTGAAAATTGATTTCTATTGAGAACTATACCTCCATGCAACTTAATTTGTAACTGACGTGGATTGCGAACGGGCCTGCAGTATAAAAAATAGATGACAGTAACTAATTTAGCTGCATATTGGTAGTCTTGCATCTTCCACATAAATGGAACTTCTGGTATCTTTTCATAAATGCACAGGACCCAAAATAGAAAGCTATTTGTGCAGAACTGAAGTGCGAGTTAAAGTGCTGTTGCAATACATCTCTGGAGTTCAACTATAGTATACTTTAATTTTTCTTTCACATCTGCTTTAACATTTACCGCAGCAGGGTATGATTAGGCATTAGGAAGGCAAGATTTAAGTGTTTTACAAGGATCTGAGCAGACCCAAAGAAAGAGCACTTGCAGCGTGATAATGCCAAATAATATCCTTGCCGAATTCCAAGATACACTAAAAATAAAAGCTCTGCATTCATGCCCTGCATTAGCGATGAAAAGGAGTCCCAGAGAATGCCTTATTGCTGCAATGTGAGTTATCAAGTTGCCAAGAAAGTCTACTGCAAACTATCTTTACGATGCTTGTTACTGCTAAGCAGCAAAATTTATGTTGCCACATAGGAAACACAGATTATTAATACTTCAATAGAATAGCAGTTGTCCTAACGAATTCAGACAAAATAAAACAAAAACAAAGTGAGATTGCATTGTAGCCAATTTCTGAATGTCCAGGTTCAAGACATCATGACAGGCATGAATGTACTCACCACCTCAACACAGGATGATTTGGGCGAGCGGTCGGCAGCTTGATTCGTTCTTGTCTCTAGTGAAGGGGCTGGCACAGCGTTACTAGAGATGGGGAAATGTTTGATATGTTCTTATTCTACATCCTCAGGGAGAGAACACGAGTAATGCGACAACACTTGGATTCCCTGAATCGATTACGTTAGAGTACTTGCACAACTGGAGTTAATTACCTGCCCAAAATCATTTGTCTGGATTGGAATTACAGTTCTCACTCTTTTGCAAGCTAGAAAAATCACATAAATTATTCCCAAAGACAAGCGAAGATACAGCAAGAACTGAAGTTTTATCCTCCATTTTATCAGAGCAATAACAGCCTCTGAAAGCTTGGCCCCACTGGAAGCAGGGGAATTTTATTACCAGCTTTGATGGAGCCATGATTTCCCCAAAGTGTATTGTTTATAATAAACAGGGTACATAATGGACTTCTCAACGTTGAAACCATAATGAGGGAATTCTCTTTTTCTCCCTAAACTGCAATTTGGAGTCAGAGGTATTTTAAGCCAACTGCATAAAAAGGATGCATAGCTGACAGATTTCCCCCACCATCCTGCTGGCCTTTCTGCTGGTTTGGAGGCCTTAACATACATGCTGGATCACATTTTATGCTCTCTCCAAAGTTCATAAAGCCATCATTGAACACAAATATAGCTATATTCTTTCTCAACTTTTTTTTTAAAGTAGGTCATCATGTTGATTTAAATAAGTGAAATTGTGTCTGTGAATGTTTAATGAAAATAATGGCAAGTTAGTAACATATAAGCAGAGACAATTTACTGCCCCATTCCACTTTCATTGGAGTTTTTTATTTCCAGTTACAAAGACAGTTTCTGAAGCTGTTGCAAGATTATTTCCTTCCCTCCTCCCTTCCTACTAACCCTTTCATTCTGTGAAAATTAAAAAGAATACAAGGATCTGGTCATAAAACCTGAAGAGGTACAAGATTCACAGCTCTCTGCCCCAAACCCTTCAGCCTGCAGAGCACACACCAACCGGCCTCTCTGCATCGACAGCATTCTCAAGTAGGTCACCGTTTTTCTTTCCTTTATAAACCTGTGCCCACCAGCAGTCCCAGAAGACACTTCAGATATCCTTACATGGCAGAGAGTGGCACCATATGAAAATTCTGATGCAACTGCACAAGTGCAACACCAGTAGTGCAGTGCCTGAGCCACATTTATATGCTCTGCCCTAGGAAGGAGTTATCCAGAACTGTTCCTACAACTGTCCCCAAGCCAGAAACATATTTATCTTGTACTGTGTATCCTGTAAAAAAAAAAAAAAGTAACAATTCTGAGAATTCAGCGCGATTAAGTGCAACTTAGACTACAGTGAAGGAGAAATATTAAAATCCTCTATTATCGTTGTGCTGCTTCATTGTGAGTTATTTTCATACACAGAGTACCCATATTTTCCTCGTATACCTTCAACTATGAAAAATCTACATCACATAAAAGATTTCCTGTAAGTGAAATCTACAGCTATATTTTTACAGGAGATCCATTAACACTTTTATTAAGCAGAGGAACACAAAATACTTGTTGAATCACAGCTCAAGTGCCATGCTCAGTGTGATCTTCATTTGCAGCTGCTGACAAAACAGTGGTCATGACTGAACTGAGCTGGATATTATTGACCAAGCATCACCTTTGAAATTCTGCAGCAAAAATAAGATCAAATTACTTAGATAGGTAAAACACAAAGGTATGATCTGTCCAGAACAAAATACCACTTCTCACTACCACTGAATGATCAATGTTTTGCGCGTACTCCAGTGAATACCACTTGCTTTCAAGATGGAGGCTAAACATTAAAAAAGCCAGAAGTTTCACCTACGCAGTAGATAAGCAGGCAACCTTATCCTTCACATTCTTAAATGGGAATTTATTTTTTTTTTTTAAGAAATGCAGCTAACATACTGCAAACGAAGCTTGGGTATTTCCAGCCACATCAAGTATTTACTTGCCTACCAGGAATCTAGCAGAGGAAACACATTCCGATAACACAGTTCTACCTTTTCCTTAACATGCAAATCAGAAATCTGCTTCTGTTCCAGCTGTCAAGCCATCTAACAGCCCTTTATTTGATCTTCACAGAAAACGATGACTGTTCTGTGTGCCAACATCAGTCTAAGCAAGGGATATTAGTATTGAATCAAGTGTCCCAAGGACTTTTTTCCTCAAAGAACTCTACTTCAGATCTGTATGATTCATGCTAGTGTTCTGTCAGTATATTTAAAAATAATCCTATAAAACGTTTACTCTTTGTAGGGTAGTCACAGGCTCATGGAAAGGCCTGGGTTGCAAAGGCCCACAATGCTCACGTGGTTCCGACCCCCTTGCCGTGTGCAGGGCCGCCAACCAGCAGCACAGGCTGCCCAGAGCCACATCCAGCCTGGCCTCCAATGCCTGCAGGGATGGGGCATCCACAGCCTCCTTGGGCAACCTGTTTCAGTGCCTCACCACCCTCTGTGTGAAAATCCAGCAATTATTTTGTTTTTCTATTAAAAGCTAAACTGGACTAGTTGATCAGACGAGGAAGGTTTAGGTTAGATATTAGGAGGAAGTTTTTCACACAGAAAACAGGCTGTCCAAGGAGGCTGTGGATGCCCCATCCCTGCAGGCATTGGAGGCCAGGCTGGATGTGGCTCTGGGCAGCCTGTGCTGCTGGTTGGCGGCCCTGCACACGGCAAGGGGGTCGGAACCACGTGAGCATTGTGGGCCTTTGCAACCCAGGCCTTTCCATGAGCCTGTGACATCCAGAAGTTCCTTCCAACCTCAACTATTCTGTGATTCTATGACTTCAGCTTTTGTAAATGCTTTTTTTTCTGATGTCAGTGAAAGCCTGCTGGTTAAAAGATGCATCAAAAGTTCAGTAACATCAGTCCACTTCCTCTACATTCCTATTTGCATGCAAACCTCATTAACATCCAAAAAATCAGACCCCAGGTTTCTGCTAGTTTCTTTTAGAACTGTTTGTCTTCAACCCACTCTACTTGGCAGGTTGTGGTCTTAGCATCAATCAAGCATTTAGAACCATCCCCCTTTTAACAATGCCTTTTAAGGAGTGCAAAATCCAGCTGCAGTTTGTGGCAAGCAAGATCCCACAACTGAGTATGACTATATTACTCTCAGAGGCAGTATTAAATCAGAGTGAATAATTGCTTTTTTTCTTTGTGACCAGTATGAACAACAAGCAGTTTGGTTGGTAAAACTTAACAAAACAAAACCCAAAATAATTGCATGCAGAGTAAAATTAGATACCCCAATTTCAATTCCTTCCATGCGTTAACTAGATTTCACTTCTCAATACCACAACAGGAAAAAAACAGATTATTTATCATGGAATAATTTCCATTCCTCTCAGAGACATTGAGGAATTTGTAAATGAATTTATTTTTTATTAACTTAAAGGACTTTTTTTTTTTTTTTTTAAGACAGAAATCTCACCCATGCAAAATATTCATCAACTCTGTTGTGTCTTTTTTGCATTTCTGAATTTCTGCTGACCCTGAATAAAATACATAGTTGGATCAGTCACAAAAAGTTCCCTACTTATATAGGTGCAATACTTCTAAATGCAGAAAATGCCCAGGAGAGGTATTCTGATGAATAGTTACCCCTGAAAAGACTTTCAGAGTTGCAGTGATTCACCTTGTAGAAATAAGACTGGCAAGAGACCTGTGGTACAGCAGTACATCCTCCAGACTGTGAAAAAGCAGACGATGCTGATTTGTTAGCAGCAACAAACCCCTGAAAGAATCTTCATTAAAGATTCAAGTTGGCTTTATGAGCCCTGATTCAAGTTTTGATTGCTATAGTGATTTTATGTACATCTTTGGCATGAGTAACAAACCTGGAATCTGGATTGAAATTACACTCATAAAATGCAAGTATTTACTCTTCGTTTACTGTACCTGCCGCCTCATAAACTGGACTAGCTTGACCTGAAGTGTATTTAATATTTAAAGGTTACAATTCAAAGCGTGACTCATGCAATAGAAGGTATATTCCCAGCCAATTCCCAGCCTGACAAACCCCACCTACAGAAGTTCAGATTTGCTGCACTTTAAAGCAACACTGCCTTCATTAACAAAGGAACTCAGAGTAAGCAAAGTCACCTCAGTACCTGTCCCTTGAGCGTTTATTCTCACAGATCCTTTTTCCAGCCTTGCTTGATACTTATTTCCATCCTGTTCTGATGGCAGTCTATCACCTCAGAAGTTCTCCAACTGCTATGACCCTCTATAAATTCAGAGTTAAGGAAAAACAGTGCTTAATATTTCGATTATATCTCAGTTTGCGTGTTTAATTCCCCTCTCTGACACAAGACACCAATGTTAGTCACTGGATAAAGCTTTGAACCGAGGCTTCTATCCCAACATCTGACACTTCTGATCATAAATCCACAGCAAGAAGCTCAAGTGCCAGGAGTTCCTCTTCAGGCTGCAAGTTATTGAGTGGCCTAAAGGAAGGTTGCTTTCCCTTGTTTCCATGCTAATTTATTTACCACATGCATGTTATATATAAATTACTACTAAATTCCTTTGAAAGGTAGTGTTCTTTGGTTTTGGTGGGTTTTTTTTTTTGAGATCTATTAATAAAATACCTGCTGCTAAATACATTGTTCATCTGATCCTATCAGACAACTCTCTAACCTGCCTGAGGATTACAATCTAGGAAAAATAAGCATGGGCATTAGCATTACTGGAACTCACCTTGAAGACATACATCAGCATGAATGCTTATAAATAAAAACATGCCTACTTTGTCTCACAGAGTTAAAGAAAGCTGTCTTCAGTGATGGTCTTTGCTTAAGCTAAAGTAAGGCTGCTGAAGTAATTACTTTAATGAGGAAAACCAACAAACCAAATGCTTAATTTCTGTAACATCAATCAAAACAAAAGCTGACAGTACAGTGGTAGCCAAAAAGAAACACAACATACACCCACACATTGTTTGTTCCAGAGAGGCCCTCTAAGTATTAAAATAAGAGATTATTTGCACAGCCTGTGCTACTCAGCACGCTGCTGTGACATGTTTGTT